TCAACCTGAAGGCCTGCCTCCTCTCGTTCTGCTTCTTTGTTTTGCAAATGGAGGAAGGGGGGGGCGATAAGATGCTGCAGAGTCTCATCCTCTCCGGGCTTCGGCTCGGCGGTGGGGGGGGGGGGGGGGTTGGGGGGGGGGGGTCAACTGAATCCATTCTCCTGCATCCGCGCCGTCCCTTTTCTCCCCTCCAATTACTGCATGTCTCGGAGCCCTGCGAAGCCTCCGTTCAACTACCGAGGCTGCTTTGATGTGTCACTTTATCAGCCATCCAGAGACCCCAGCTCACGGGCTCCCGCCAATGGAAAAGGTTTTATTTCTGTGATGCAACTTCTTGAGAATGTGGTTCTGTTAGCCGAGGGCGGCTGCTCAGAAGAAAAAGCCTCTTTTATGTCTTCAGACACTTTGTTTTGTGTTGCAGAAAGACAGTTACGGCGTCATTGGCCAGTTACTCAGATCATCTGCGCTCTAAAGCCGGAGCCCAAACTCCCCCAGTCGGGCCGATTATTTCTGCATCTCGGAGCGCAGTGCAAACGTTTGAGACGGATGCGCGCTTTGACAGTCGGCCTCTTGGCTCGGGCAGAGTGACGTGACTGCTGCAGAACGTGCTCCGTTCCGTGTGCTGCATTGCAGGCAAGCGTCTTACCTTGTGAAACGCAAAACATGTGTCCTTTGCTCGCAGGCCCCCCGAGCACTCCCGCCCAGATGATCAATTTCATCCAGCTCTGTGTTGCCGGGCTGCGACTTAATCCCATAACACCCTCATTTTTTTTTCTTTTTCTGTGGGTTTATTATTTTGGGTTTGGTAAACAGTGTGGGTTTCTTGTTTTTGTCACGTATGCGGTATGTAATCACCTTGAACTGTCTGTAATACGATCATTCATCATGTCAGTGTCTGTCAGATTCAATGTGGTGCAGAAAATCTCAGTCCTGTCACGGTTCAATGACAGTAGACTGAGGAGCTGCAGATGTGGGAAGCTCGAGTTGGCGAGTGGAATCCAAGGGGATGTGAAAATATGTTTCCCGCAGCTGCTTTTTGCGAGATTTCGGCCTTATGTTCGAGTGGAAATGTTTTCCCACTCCGAAAGCGAGCGGGTTTGTGCCGGAACGACACAGCATCATTTTGGAAACACTAATGCCTTCCTAAGTGGTTCAATCTGTGCCATTAGTGTCTCTCCCGTTTCTCTGTCCCTTTCAAAGACGACGACGGGGGGAGGGACATTGTCTCAACGTCTCTGTCTCCACATCTCTGGCCCCGGCGAGCTGAATCGGGAGCGACGTGAACTCCCGCTGCTCCTTGGTAACTACAGAGACACAGAGGGTGAAATGTCGATTTTCACCACAGCCTCTGCCCCGCGTGCCCTTTAGCAGCGATTTGTGGCAGGCAGGCAGACGTTGGCTAATTCGGCCACGTTCATCAGTGGCCAGATGGGCTGACAATGTCCTGTCAGTCAGAGAGGAGAGACTCACCTCAGGGATCTGATGGGATGACACGACGTCCGGCCGGAGCGATCGGCTTGAGCCTCTCGCAGGGCTCCGTTCATTACTGACAATGTACCGGATCACCGGTCCGTCCATCAGCCGGTGCTCATCCAGTCGCTGGCAGAGCCAGATGAATGTCAACTGGTGGAACTGCAAAATGTCCAGATCTTCATTTAATCTCTAACTCATATCCTGCTGCTTAATGTCTGCAAATATTCTCCTAAGGATATGACTGAGGGATATAGTGAAGGATGAGTCATTATCGCCCCGAGAGAGAGCGATTCTATCTTACTTTAAGCAGAACTTATGATCTATGACATGAAATGTCTGTGCATTGGGTCGAGACAACCTATCTGTTGGAGGACAATGTTTGGATACAGATCCATTGATAAGAATTAGAAGAAGAAATGTAATCACTGATTTAGATTGGGAAATATGATGTTGATCAGAGGAGAGATTATCCACAGCTATAGAGGTGGTGATCGTTGTAAAATACCCCTAAAATCCACCGTGGTTTGAGTTCAAAAGTTTCCTCCATTTCCAGCACGTTCTGTAAAGCAGCGAGAGGCGTGTGAGTGTCAGTTGAAGGATATAATTTGGTTTGTGAGTGCCCGTGTCCTCCAGGACCCCAGAGTGAACTGAGGTCCTGTCCCATTGCAGGGACGCATAGATGCGCCAGTGGGGGCGCATGCACGTGACGGATCATTGCAGCGGGGCGAGGAGGTGCACATTTTTCCCTGTGACATTTCTTTCACTCCGTCAAGCCGAAGTGAGGTCGCGCTCTGGCGGCTCTCAGCACACAGAGCGTCGGACAGTGCTTGTTTGGTTTTGTGTCTTTGGAAATGTATACTATCTTTATTTTGAAATTGATACGTGGTTTGCGTTCATACATCTCACAAACTTGATGAAGAATTTCATAACCATGTTGGTCGAAAGTGGGACACACATGGCCGGACTAAATCGGGGCCTATATATATTCTCCTGGATCATCTGTTTTACTTATGTGGGTCATATGAGGCATCAGTAGCAACTTGAGGCTAGTTAAAGCGTCCCTACAGTAACTTTAAGACAATCACTCATATGTTTTCATTAACCTATTGTTTTAATTATTAGCTATGGCTTATTTTAAGGACATCTGCCCCGTTAGAGAGGTGTGTGTGATGAACCTGTGAAAACAAAGGAAAAGAAAAAGGTTTGAGTATAATGCTCCTTTCAATTAAGGATCAGTTATTCTACCGTTAAAAGAAACGTGGTCCACAATATCGAAACATCTTTTTTAAGATGATTTATTTTAGAGAAGATAATGTAAAAATAAAAAACATTTCCTTTCTTTTCAGTCTGGAGGGATTTCCTCACAGCAACCTCACGTTTTGTGCTCCAGATTGTGGAAGCTTCCATCAGTGATTTTACCCATTTAAATGTTTAACTTAACTGTGCATACGTTGGAAGTTATGTGATACACGGCCTATACCCAGCTCCGTCTACAAACTGTGCCCGTATTACATGATCCCTGTGTTGACACAGACGATGATGCAGTAGAAGTTGGAGCGGTGGATTAATGTGTAACACGACTGACCTTAAAAATTGAGTTTGTGCGATTGCCTTCTTGCTTGTCTGGGTGGCCCCAACTTTTTGTTTTCTTTTGTTTTTAACATGAGCTCCCCCTCGCTGCTGGCGTGCAGGTCGCTGCTGGCGTGCAGGTCGCTGCTGGCGTGCAGGGCTGCGATTTGGCCGCTGGTGCTCAGGATGACCTCGGCAGGCGTGGGGCGCATTCGAGGCGAGTTGGACGTCACCTCGGAGGAGCGCACGCAGGCCCCCGCCGCCAAACGCTGTCGGCCTGATGCCGCCGCGTGGTCCAGGAGGAGCAGCAGGAGCATCTGGATATTCAAGCGCCATTACCGCCTGTGTCACCATGAATACCGTAGTCCTACACTCCCCCGATCTCCCTCCGTCTTGACTGGGCCTGCTGATAACTTCAGCAGCGACCGGGCTGGGATTCAGCGGGGCTGCATTAGCAAACAACCTTGGCGAAGGACTAAACGCCGTCTCAGCCGGGTGTCCTTGCCGTCACGTCGCTGCTGATAAGCGCCCGGGCCTTTAGGACGCGCTGCAGGACTCCCTGCCGGCCCCCAGCAGCACTGCGAGCTGGGTAATTGCAGAAGAGGTGCCAAATACGAATCAAGCGATGGTTACATCTGATGCCCGACGTGCTACAGTCGCATCTTTCACGACCAGGGAGGCCGCTTTTTTCTGGGATTTCATAATGCTATATTTCTTACCCCCAGTATTTTCAGAAGCTGATTCTGTGGCCAATTAAAAGAACCATTATATTGTCTCTGTTTATTTTGCACTAACTGCACAGCTTTCATTCTTCCACATTGATTTATCTTGCTAATACTTTAATTTATAAAACATGTATTGTGTACTGATATGCACAAATACACAAAAGAAAAATCCTCGCATGAGAAAACTCTTCGAGTAGAACAAATGACATATTTCTTTTTGTTCCTCGATTTAAAAGATAAAACAGCCACATTGCTTCCTGTTATCTGGCACCTGGACCTTTTCCCTGCTACAGAGAAAATACCTTCCCCTAAGAAAACCGTCTCTGAGTGGAAATCTATAGTCCTGCTGCAGCTCCGTGATAAATTATTCCGTCAGCCTTTTAAAACCTTCCGCTGGCTTTTTGGCTTGTCCTTGTGCGGCCTGTAAATTGTTCATAGTGATATATTAAGTAGACTGGTGTGCGTGCGTGCGTTCGTGCGTGTGTGTGTGTTTGTGTTTGTAAAAATTAGGTTTATTTACTGGGTTGAGCTGCCGAAATAAACCGCGCAGTGCTATTTTTCACATCAAAACACACCGCAGCACTGAACGATGAGACACACAGGCAGAGGCTGCGGTGTGTATTGATGTGCGATGCCCTTGGATCGAAGCCAAGACGGCGAAAACGGAATGAAAGGAAAGCAGTCACTTCCCAGTCGACTCAAGGTTATACTTTACAAGGAGCTTTATCTGCCCACGTTGTCGACGGTGTGCTTAGTAAGTGCGCGCTTTATATGCGTCTGCTGCAACCATGAATAAAACCTTCTGAATCGCATCTGCCTGCCTGACTTTGACGATTCCCCTCAACGTGCCTGTATTTGTCCAAAAGCAAATGCAAAGCGGTTACGTCGCGGCTCATCCGCCACTTCCAAGCCGGCACGCGGGCTGCTGCCACAGAACGGGGCCCTTAGCGGTCGGGGGGGGGCCCCTGCCAGCTAGGGGAAGTGGCAGCGGAGCATCCCGGCGTAATAGTCTCTCATAATCCTGTGAATGTCTGACGTTGTCCCCCCCGAGAGGGGCGAGACGGAGGCATGTAATCAGTGTGCTTTAAGGGCTGACAGATTTAACTGCAATAAAGCAACCCACTGTTTCCATGCTGAACGGAAGCAAATTGAGAACTTTTGAGTGTTTTGTTTTTCCACTAAACAATGACTCTCTCTTTCTTTCTCCCCGACTGCTGCTTGTCATTTCTACAGGAAGTCGAGGTTAGTGTCTCTTTTGTTCCCTTCTTTTAAAGTGGCTCTTTTTGGCTGCATTGTAGACGTCACCTGCCTTTTTAAAAGAGCTTAACAAAATATCACAAGAGCATAATTCCAAATGCTGCTTCCGAATATATTGACATTTAAACAAGTTCACTTAAGTTAAAACGTAACCCTCCCTTTAACGGCCCGCCTTGTGTACGGTACATAAAACGCCGTCGGCTTCAGCTTGACTTGAGAGTTTTTGTGTCTCCTGAGCGGGATAAGACCGAGCCGAAGTGAACAGGCCTGATCCTCTGGGTCCTCTCTGGGCCTCGTGTAGTAACCGCTTTATGGTTTATCCTCTCTGTCCCGACACACACACACAGAGAAATGAGCTGCATGGGGAAGCTACATTTTTATCATCGTTCCAGCACAACCCCACCAGGGACACAAATCTAAAAAAACAAAAAATACAAAGTTAGTTTTCAAATATTCCCACAGCGGCAGCGCCAGAGCAAAGAGAGTCAAGGTCTTTTTTATTAGATGTTTCTTGTATTCTGGAGTTTACTTACTTTTAGAAACGTACAACGAAAATCAGATTAACTCTAATACAACCCTTTGGCCCATTTGACTTTTTGGGAAATATGCTTACTGAGAATTTTGTGAAACGATCGATACCAAAAAAAGAAAACTACAAGCCCGGCTCTGTTCAAACAAACAACATACCTGCACATCTAACTCTCTTGAATGTGTTCCTTAAACAAAGTTTAAAAGGACGGAGCCAGGCTAGCTGTTTCCCTCTGCTTCCAGTCTTTGTGCTAAGCTAAGCTAATTGGCTGCTGGTTCCAGCATTGTGTGTAATCATGTTCTCTTCTAACTCGAGACAGGAAGTTGAATAAGCAGATTTTCCAAAAAATCAAACTATTACCTTTAAACATTTGACAGTATTTTACTTATAACTAATAACTAAAACAAAAACCAATTGAGTGAATAAAAAAAAAAACAGCAGATAAAAAAATAAAGGACACGACAGAATTAAAGGAAATGGTAGAACTGCAACATGAATCTAAAGTGGATACAAATAAGCTAAAGTAAGTAGTTATGTATGCAATTATTCTGGCCGACTATTTTCCATTCACCACTTAAAGTTGTATTGGAAAGTATAAGTGAAGAGTCATCAACAAAAGTGAAAAACCTAGACAGCGATGGTGATGAATGACATAATATGATATTTCTTGAGCGGTTCAGCCCTTGGTTACACATATGTTTCTAGTTTGTATTATTTATTTGAACATTTAAATTACGATGAATCAATCAAGCAAACACTTTTCACAGAAATTACCTTAATTGAATTAAACCTTGGTTTTGCTCATTATGAAATTACATTTCTCATTTTAGGTTTTCTGATTTCTGAGTGTGTTGCCTCACATTTAATATTAAATCCATTAATGCAAATCCATTTTCCTTCCAGGACGACTACATCAAAAACATGGAACAGAACATTGGCTCTGATGAAAGTAAGTCTTATTTTCTCTGATTAGAATTCTTTTTCCTGTGGACACATGAGGCTGGCTGTGTGGTTCAATTTAAAGTTTAATGGGTTTTTGACTGAGTGCCTGAGTGTACGCTGTGCTATATGCCAGACTTTTAATATTTAAATGGATTCACTTGAATGGGCAGTTCCACTTCAAAGAAGAATAGAAACAGCTGTATTTTACCAGCATCCTGTAATCATTGCAGAGGTCCACCTTCATACATCTGCTTTACACAATGGGCGCACATTACAGAAGGGATGCCTTTTCTTTAATTGCAGCAGTGTAAGGTCATCCAGCGCGTGAGGAGCGCTGCTCAGAATGTGACGGAGCTTTCGCAGGAGGAGAACACGGTTCTGCTGCAGGAAAGGAGAGTCTCAGTCTTCAGTCGGATCCATTAGTCTGAAAAGCCTCCTATAATTGCCTTTGTTGCTGAGGGCTCAACTCCAAACTCCCACCAGGTTGCATTTACCTCCATAGGGTTTCTGCTCTGGAAAGAAATCCTGGGGGAGGACAGAGACTGCGTGAAAACGGCGAACACAGTTATTTCAGTAAAATGGTTTTCTATAAATTCAACTCAAATGAAAATTGAGTGGATGTAGGAAGCTTGCACAGATCATTTAACCTCCACCAGGGGACATTTAAATTATATGGAGGTTTGACTGAGGTCTTGAGAGGATCAATATTCAAACCTTAACATTGGATATCTTGAATACTTGCTCCCATTTGTACCGTTTCCATAGGAATGCTCTTTAAACTCACCGCATGCCATCTGTCTGGCACCAAGCAGTGGACGTACAGGAATAGCTGCTGAATATTTACGAAGCACGAGCGAGGCTTGTACACAAAATCTAATGGTGCTACATCATTTTTTTTTGCATGTCTAAAAAAAGCAATTGTTTACTAGCATGTAAAAGCATTCAATGTATCACCTTGAACACCAGAGAAAAACATTTAGCATCTACACATTCATCTAAATGCAAAAACCGTCAACTACGGCTACATAATTAATTCACCTGAAGCTATAAATAAATCATTTGACTTGCGGCTGTGCAACTCAACAGCGGCTTACGCTTGTCACGTGCAAACAAAAGTATTTTGCTCTCATTTCACAGCCAAGACGATAGAGAGACTATTCACACTCGTTTTTAGCCAATCAAGCCGCCTCTCGGGCTCAGCGGCGTGCACGAGTGTGGGAGGTGGGTTGTTGCGCCACACCCCACGCTGCCTCTCGTGAACGACATTGAATAGTTTGTGACGGTTGTGAGAAGCAGCAGCAGCTCCAGCATCTGTTCTTACAATAGGGAGAACAAGCTGCGAGTACAGTGTGGGAGATTTCCACCCGGTTGCTGATTCCCCACAGTTAATTGATCAAGTTCCTCTTTGTTGTTCATTTAACGGCAGGAACAGCAGAAGCTGGGAACAAAAGAGCTAACAGGAGGCCGCGGGCTCCTCTGGTTCTTCAGTGAGCCGATTGAGACGTCAGCTCGGCTCTGCAGAGTATTTAAGAAGCGTGTATTTTAGCCAACCGATTGAACGTCACTAAAGCCTAGACAGAGACAATTATTCCCACTGTGAATATGCTTATTTTTATACCACTTTGGGAAATTATTCAGAGATAATTCGGAATGAATAGTCCTTTTTAATTGTGAGTGAATAATTGCATAGCTCCACTTGAGTTAAATAAAAGCTGAAAGTTGTTTTAACACAGCGACCATTTTTTTTTAAAAAGCCTGTCTCTCATGCTCTTTATATTCATTAGCATTAAACCTTTTTGGTTTCTTTTTCTATTTCTTGACAGCGGATCTTCTTTTCCTTTTTTGCCGGAACCTTTAAGTACTTACTGGCAATGTGAATGTAAAACACATTTTTGAAAGCCTTTTGCTGATGGATGAGAAGATGGAAGATATTTTTGATTGCAGCGTGATAATAAGAATGCAGATTGACATTCGGCATCTCTTTACCCATAACGTCCCTCGCATGTCGCGGCCCTGCATCGAATTGTGAATGCAGCGTGATGTAAACAAGCAGCCGAGCAGGCGAGGTGGAAAACACACTTCAGTTTTAATGCAAATGAATTATTGTGCTTGGATTTCCTCTTTCAGTCTACGTAGGACTTTGTGAGGGATGTGTTCGGTCTTAAGTTGTTGTTCGGAGCTTGAATAAGAGAGCAATGAGACATCACCGTCTGAAACTATACTGAACACACCGAGCTGTGTTTCCATGGGAACATACAGTAAAGTGATTAGTAGATGCGTTTTAAAGGCAATGTTTTCGCTGGAAATTCAGTGTTTTCAGCTGTTTTTTTATGAAAATGCTCTAAGGACTCACTGTAAACTCCCCACTCAGCAACAAACAGGAGACACTGTGCGGCCCTTCTATGATTTAGATTTTTAAGAAAAAAGTAGTTTATATGTCTTTGTTTAATCTGCGTTGAAACCAAATGTTCATTTTATTCACAGTTTAATTCAATGTACAGCACCAACACCATCCAGAGGGATATTTTTTCTTCAAAGAAACAGAGCCTCCATTTGCCCTGTTAATTAAATCAACATTGATACTGCTTCAAAGCCGTGGTATTTTTGGAAATATGTCTCACTGAATGAGTAATTTGTATCCAGAACTTGATGCACGTTTTCTATTATCAAACTAACCCATAAAGAGGATTGTAGAGCCTTTGTACAGATGTGTGTGCACCCTTAAGTGCTTTCTAGTTTTACTTTATTCTCCCTCATATACTCAGACTGTGCAGTGCACGGCTCACTGCGCAGTCTGGGTTCTGTGCCGGCGGTCTGCAGGTACAGAAGAAAGTGGTAAAACTTGCACCACTAACATGGTTCCTTGCTCCCATCAAAGCTCATTGGCCATGACTGAAACCGTTTTTAACTAAATGGGATGTTAAGTCTTGTATTCTGACAGAAACTACTAATAGAAAGAGCCAGGAAGCCAAAAGGAAAGCGTGAGGAAAACAGGAGTGATGTGATTGGATGTGAGATTTGAAAATATGAGATGTCTTTGCGTTCCTTGTATTAAATATATAGTCAAACTGGGATGTACGGTGACAGTTTGGATGGATTTTTGGGAGCTCTTTATGACAGATAAATAGAAATAGCGGTCATGTCGGGATATTGTTACAGCAGACACGGTTTGTGTATCATCGCGTATGTGTAGGTTGCACTAATCACATTTCCAAGGCAATTGTTGTTGTGTTGCTGAAGTCCCAAATAAGGTTTGTCTGCATGAAGCTCAGACACCCTTCCATCCTAAAAACGGAATTTGTGAGTTGCTCTTCACGCTCCAGTCACCAGCTCATTCATACACAACAACGCCACAGGCACCAGGACCCCGACCTGTATCTCCCCCACTGTTCCCTCGCACTTCCCCGTTGCAGCGTTAAAGATTCACCTAGTCTGAGGATCTGCAGGAATCTGTCTGGCAGCCACCTCGTCTGTTGGTGCGACGTAGCGACTGCAAAGCAGCTGCTCGGAGCTGACTCAGGATTTCACAGCTTAAATTTCTCTCGCCGATCGCCTCTTGCCACTCACTCTTAAATCCAATCCGGGCGTGTTGTTTTTTTGTCCCGAGGCCTCCCTTGTGAGGCGGAATATGGCCTGTGCCGGTGTGGACGTGCAGGCGGGGATGGCGTTGACCGGAGGCCGGGGGAGGGGGGGGGGGGGGGGGTGGAGGACACGGTTCTATTTCCATCTCGGGCCCCTCGGTGAAGGAGAAGTTGATATCGAAGGGTTTATCTCTCCGCAGATGGAGAGAAAGAAAAGCCGGGGGGTATGAAGAAGGGAAGGGAGACAAAGATGGACTTTGTGTGTTTGTGAGAGAGAGAGAGAAAGAGAAAGAGAAAGAAAGAGATAAGTTGACATGCGGGAAGTGAGATGTGACAAGTGGAGAGAAAGAGATGCTCAATCATGGCTGTCGGGCTCTTTGGGGCAATCAGACACAGCCGCCGGAGAGTGCAGGCAGCGCCGGTGACGACAGGCTACCTTACTAATGACGGCAGCGCCGACCATAAAATCAATGGCCTCATTTGTGCACGCTGCTAGAATACTTTTCACATTTCACGATGTTTATTGCACACGGCCGTGTTGAAAAGATAGGATGGGAGCTTGTGTTATAAGCTGTGAATGCGCTTAAAATGGCTGTTTTTTTGTTGTCGCTTTCCATCCGGTGAACACATGCTCCTTGTCAAGGCAAACAAAACAACAGCCGGAAGCTGTTTTTTCTTCTCCAGGAGGTGACAGAAATAGAGAATTTATGCAGAACACCTCAGCTTTGATTGACACCTCTGGTGATTTGCCGTGTTGTTGTTTTTGCGCTTGCAGCCGTGGACACCACCAAGGACCCGTGCCAGAACGTGAAGTGCAGCCGGCACAAGGTGTGCGTCGCTCAGGGCTACCAGAGGGCCATGTGTGTCAATCGCAAGAAAATGGAGCAGAGGTTAGTTGACTCCTGAAGTCAGAAGGAAAGGTTTTCACCTTAATTCGCATAGGCGGTTTTGAAATAATGCATTATTTATCATTATGAATATTTCAGTAGCGACTCAACTTCAAACTGAGTTGCTTATAAAATTCTGATCTTTATGGCCATTATTCATCCTTAAGCGTGAGCAGAGTTGAAATCATAGGTCACGCTGCAACACAGGGAGGAGCTGCTAACTTAATGGATAACACCTGATGTCAAAGGTGCACACTTCATGAATGATTCATGCTCAATACATGACTCATCATGATCTAATCTAACGCCTGACGTATAATAAATTCCCACGGCTCGTTTTAATTAATAAGGAACCACTATCGTTAAGTTCAATGACTTAAAACTCCACGGATCATCAGTTTGAGAATTGGCACATTTTTAAGGTGGACTAAAATGAAGACTTCATCAAATCAGACGAAAGTGGAAAAACGCTTCTCCGCTTCTCCGTCGTGAACAACAAGGCTTATTGTGCTCATGTCATATTATACAGACTGTAAATACAAGCAGCTGAGGGGTTCAAACATTCATATGAGCCTTATGGTTTGGACAATAGGTTATCTCCTATTTGACATGATCTGATCTTGGTTGCTCTCAGCGGAAGACGCATGTCATGATGTATTTTGTTGATCGGTCTACTTTGACGTGCAAAACAAACACAAAAAGAAACTGAGCGCATAACGTCAATCTTATTATCCGTCACCAAGCAACCGTGTTCTTCCATCTCTTACCCGACTTATTGTGTGGCTGACTCAAAGAAATAATTACTCAACATTGTGGTCATTTAATATAATGTAATCTTCCCTCACAGCGGCCTTTACCTTTCTGTAAATAAAAAGCACTTAGCCCATCGCCCATTCCACTTGGACTGGAAAACAAATGAGTTGCCGACGGAAGACAAACGTGAAGTGAATTATTGGCACCTTCAAAGTCTATCTGCTGCCACGGGCGATTATCTTTTTCAATAAAGTGCTTCATCTACAGAGTGACGGCACAGATGAGCGCGACGGCGTTGAATAATGGCTGATAAGCACCGACGCAACCGCACCATTAACGCTAGAACCCGTAACACAAAGTCAATCAGAGGAGAAGCACGCTAGTGGGATTCCACAAAACAGTGCGTTCGAACGCCATCTGACGTGGCCAGCTGACGTTTGAATCCCCTTTTCCCCATTTTTTTCCTTTTAATGATCAGAGTGAAACAGTCGGGGCAGCCGGAGGCTCGTGAAAGCGGCTGCAAGCCTTGTCCCGTTGTCTCCTCCTCCTCACCTGTGTGTGGCTCCGATGGACACAACTACGCCTCCCAGGTAACAGACGCTCTCTGCCTTAAACTTGGATTCTCATTACGCTTTTTCATCACTAAATTCTATCTCAGCGTTAAAAACCAAATCAGCTCGTTCTCTGCTGCCGTTTGCAGTGTGCAGTGTCTCCTCTGAATGAGCATCTCCCTCCCTCCCATGAATGTTTGAACCGTCTCTCTCTCCTCTCAGTGTAAGCTGGAGCAGCAGGCCTGCCTCGCGAGCAAAGAGCTGAGCGCCGCGTGCGCTGGATTCTGCCCGTGCGCCACGGCCTCCGTGAGCCTCTCAAATACTGACACGAAACGTGGCAAGTGCCCCTTTTTTCTCCACCTTCTTCCATCCGTCTCAGTTTTGGGATGTTAGGAGTCGAGGTTTTTGAAAACATAGAGAGAACATGCAGCATGCGGTCAGTAGGGGGGCAACCAATCAACCTAGTGTTGCAGGATCAATAGAGATTACTGTTATTTCTGCCAAATACCCCTCATATGGTTAAAGGGCTCTTTAAAACCTGCAGTGATTCATTATGTAGAGCGTATGCCAGCCAAACACTATTGATTGTCCAAGCTCGTGAAAATGCTGCAAATTGATGAATCAAAAGGGAGGAAATGTGACTCTGTTTTTTTTATCCCGTGCTTAGCCTGAAATTGAAGATGGATTCCTATTGGAAAACTTCAAGGCCTCAAGGCAATTTCAAGGCCTCAGAGTTGATTGGGAAATAATGTTTTCCTTGATTGGCAGATTGTATACAACAGTACGACAGCATGAACCGCGAAAGATTTAAAAGCCTTAGAATCCGTTCGCTGTTTCATCAGCACAAGCAACAAGCAGCAGTCTGCCATGGATTTGGACGATTCCTTTTTCTTTTGCTCCCTCAGAGAGCTGCACCGGCCAGGACCTGGCCGACCTGGGGGACCGTCTGAGAGACTGGTTCCAACTGCTTCATGTAAACGCCAAGCAGAATAACTCTGGCAAGCTCAGAGGTGACACCGCTTCAGGTTAGAAACAAAACCGACTCAATTGTCTGATCAAAGAATTTTAGTCCAGCCAAAAGAACAGAAGTGCAACGAATGGTTTCATCTTCCTGACAGCGCTGGACAAGAGCCTTGCAGCCAGCTGCAAGGACTCCATCGGCTGGATGTTCTCCAGGCTGGACACCAACAGCGACCTGTATCTGGACCAGGCCGAGCTGACTGCTATCAACCTGGACAAGTACGAGGTCTGCATCCGACCCTTCTTCAACTCCTGTGATAGCTACAAGGATGGGAAGGTCTCGACCGCCGAGTGGTGCCTCTGCTTTTGGAGAGAAAGTGAGTGAAGGGATCTCGGTGTGTTTATTTGGGATTAGTTCTCTAAATGGGGGAAAGATGTCAAGGGGAAATAAAGGCCTTGTGATGATGTCACTTTATACCACATCCGGGTGGCCAAACCGTCTTGGTAAGGTTGCTGTGAAACGGGGAAAACACATGTGTATCTTTCCAAAGTTCCAAAAATGACCCTATAAACTTAATCTTTATTCTAAGATGATCGACTCCTGGCTCAGACTTCCAGCAAGAAGATAAATTAGCATATTTCCAAAGACGTTACGTTTTACCGAGCCTGAAAGCCAACGGGCTTTAATTCACGGATCACGGCATTCGTTTCTAATTAGCATCTTTAATTGCACATTCTGGTCGTCTGTTTCTTCTCTTTGACCTTTTGCGTTGAGTAGCTTGGATTCTCCATCCTCTCTCTTTTCCAGCACCGCTTACTCATGTCTGACATTATTCCCAGAACTGAACCCCCCCGCCCCCCCTTTCTCCTGCTGAGATCAATCTGGGCCTGTTTTATCTGAGTCATCTGACAGTTTGCCAGAATCCCTCTCTGGGGAATAGAAAGTCCTTCATGATGTCCTTACCTGATCCAGGGTTCCCCTGAGCAGAAAGAGACTCCTCCATCTGCTCCCCTGCTAAACTAAGCTCTCATCCCAGCACAAAACCGCCACTGATCCCTCATTTATCTTTGGCTTCAGCTGTTCTGGGTACCTGGTAAGTTTATGAATGATGCTAGAACAGGGTGTTCCCCCAGGTTGGTGATGATTATCTTAAAAGTCCCAATAACAAAGCATCGCTGTGTTCTGATACGGCCGACTGGTCACTCCAATCAACCGCTCTTTGGTCGCGTACCGGCGGTACATTGGATGTATTAAACATGATTTGGAAAGGCACACACCTGTCTGTATAATGTTTTCAGCAGTCGGTATAATGTTGACGATGCGTATCAGAGGAAAAAACAACATTTAGAAGACTGGATGCTGATGGGATTCTGAATGCTTTTTAAATGCACTGTATCCCAATATTTGGAAAAGAAGCTCCAAGTGTCTCATCAGCTTTTACCAATTTATACTATACAAAACTACAGATGTTGTATGGCGATTTTCAGGTGCACGTAATCTACATAGAGCGTTAACAAGGTCATATAATATCCCCACATGTTGGGTTTTAAACACTTTGAATATTGAAAAATTATTTTACGGTCTAGTTTGATTATTTTGACAAAGGCCTTAAATTGTCTTTTTCAAGGCGTAAAAGATGAAAGCAGATTACCCAAGAAATGTCACTCTTAATCCTAAAAAACACTGGTGTGCATCAACAAGCATTTATTGATTAAAGCTTACTTTGGAAGCCATGTTCTTGACATTTTATGTCTAGTTTGTGTTGTAAATTGAAAATGATCAGGTCCGACATTGGATGTTACTCTTGAAATGCTATTTCAGCGTTGCTCATTGTCAACATCTGCACTGTTTGATCGGATTTTTCTGGCACTAACCTAATTTGCATGCCAATTGCTCCATTGATCGGGCATTTAACCTGCATGCCGGTGATTACATCGGCTTCCTAATCAATTTTTCATTACAAGCGGGTGGTATTTATAAATCCTTTAGTGAAGGATTTTATGATAATGATTTGGAACAGGATGTTAGAATTCATGTAGAAAACTGATTACAAACTGTTATTTGAACAATTATTGATTATGTTTTGTGAATTTATCTCGCGCAAACGTCATAGAAATGGTGTGCTGGGAAAGGTTTATTGACCTGGGGTTCAACGTAAAGTTTATCTTTCTACTTTGTTTCTATTTCTATCTTCACTGCCACTCTCGGGCTACACCCATATGTTCTTTTACCTGAGCGCTTGGCGATCAACCAGGCTCCAAATCAATACGGGCACAAACAGTGTAATTCTGAAGAGCTTTGATTGAAATAAAGTTTGAGGACGGCAGTTTTAGGAATCGCCTGTCATCACTTTCCTTGATTGATCCTCACAGAGCCGCCGTGCCTCGCTGAGCTGGAGAGGATCCAGGTGCAGGAGGCGGCCAAGAAGAAGCCTGGTAACTTCATAATCCGTCATAACAGTACTGAGAAGTCCTATAGAACGGTTGTATTAGATTGATGATTGCGTAGGAACAAAGAAAACATGTGCCACTGCATTGTCTCCTTGGCAATTAGTCCCGGAGGAAGAGGAGGAGGCTTGTTGTTAAGAGATCGCAAGCACACACCGGAGTAGGTCCCATAGGGAGAGGGGGGTCAGAGGGCAACGCTCAGTCCAGTTGGCATTGTGTCGTTGTATACTGCTTGTGCTTTCGGAACACAACACACTGAATGAAGTCGCCAGCATATGCCGGCTTGTGTAAAACAAAACGGGGAGGCGTTCCCTGTCCTTGGTGGTGTTCTCTGGCAAAAAGTCACGCCTCTCTCCATTCTGACGGGTGCACTGGGTGTGAATATTTAACAAGGAGGCACGGGTGTGCGCGCGTGCTCGTGCTTGCAGGGGTGTACATTCCCAGCTGCGATGAGGACGGCTACTTCAGGAAAGTTCAGTGCGACCAGAGCCGAGGGGAGTGTTGGTGCGTCGACCAGCACGGAGGAGAGATGATGGGCACCAGGATCCATGGCAACCCTGACTGCGGTAAGAAGATTAGACACAGAATCTCCTTTTTTCCTTCAAGTCGTATTTTCTCAAAATATGTAATTATGTTTCTAAAATATATAAATATTTGCCGGTGCAGCGACATTTTAACTTCAGAATTTGTCAGGTATTATTCTTATAAACAAACGTAATATTTTTCTTAACTTAAGGGGCACTTACATGCCTTATTTGTTATTTTTACACAGACACACACCTCTAGTATTAGTACTACTAGTACTAGTATTTTTTTACTTGTTCAAAGAAAATTTTATCAAGAAAAATGCTACGCACTCGGCCTCTTAGTGAAAAATGAATCCACGTATCAATCCGTTTCCAGATGAAGCGGCGGGATATTCTGGAGATTTGGGGAGCGGGGTGGGATGGGAGGACGAAGAGGAGAAGGAGGCAGAGGACACCGGAGAGGAGGAGGAGGAGGAGGAGGAAGAGGAGGAGGGCGAGGCGGACGATGGAGGGTACATCTGGTAGAACCGTCTGACCCCCAGCGCGCGGAGCCGTGTTCACAGCCGCCGGCCTGAAATTCTACAAGGGGATGGCTCTCTCTTCAAAGCGAAAGATTGTGGGATCAGACCTGTGAGGCGTGGAGTTGTGTGTCGTCCTGGTGGGATGTGTGGTGCCGGTCAGGATGAGACAGATAACCAGTTTTTGTCTTAGATATGTGTAATTGCTTCATTCTCTTGTCTCTGATTTTTGAGCAACAGAGCTTTTTGTTTTGCTGTCCTGGAAAAAAAAAAAAGCAGGACCCACTGACTACTGCACTATATAGGTAGCTAAAGTCCATCCCAATCTTGTCCATCTATGCATTTAGAGATTACCAGTAATTTTGTATTCTGTGAACAGTTGCTTGAGTCACCGTCCCACTGGAATGATCAGGTTTCAAAGGAAGAGTCAAACTATTCCATGTAGGCAGTTTAGTGCAATGTGTTTACGTACGTCCCGACTGATTCTATATATAGATCCATTGCAAATGATCCACGAAGCGAGCTTCGAGCTTTTCAGGTTGCCGCGGTTTCAAAGCTGCTTTTACGATGGTGGTGCACCACAGCTTATAGGAGTTTTTAAATCTTACTTACAAATTTAGTGGATGCCAACAAACTATGAAGGACCTACGTTTCCAGTTGGATTACTTTCATGGAAAACATGTAGAATGTACTATGGCGGCCGAAACTATAGTAGAAACCACTAGTCGCTTTCCTCTGCTAACACTGAATTCATGATAAAGAATGTGCCACAACTATGTTTTATTCTGCAAATTATTTTGTGTTCATAAAAAAAGGTGTGTGTGCGTTACTTGAAGTTCTGCTTATATACTTGAGATTCACATTGTTCTTTTTTTCTATGATAATGTTGTTGCCATGACTTCATTCATGCTATTGGTAGGCCAGACATTTGGTTGTTTTTAGTATTGCATGTTAGTGAACAAGAATGTACTTCTAGGCTGAGCACTTTACTAATAAAGGCACTGGAGCCGAACTGTATGATGACTTCAATCTTTTCTCAACTGTTACCAGAGAGAAATGAGGTCGACTTGGTGGCTATCGCCACCCCAGAGTCGCTCAGCATCTTCTTTTGTGTTTTAGGATGAGATTTTGACAATGCGTCTGCAAGGGAACGCTGAGCCGAGGTGCCTGTGGGGAAATGGAATGAATTTCTTAAGCTAAAGGCAGGTTGGTTGATCTTGCTGCTGCAAGGTGCACAGGAGAGAGTGGAGCCCACTTTATCTTAGCAGATCAATATTTTCCAAATCTGCTGCTGTGCAAAAATGAAATAACTATTTCCAGTGTCACTCCAGCCGCCTTGCATAGAGTATCTTGCTTATTAAACACAAACTGGGTGTGGAAAGATGAATTTCTTGGGAGCACACAACAACTTTCTCATGACCTTTAGAGTCCTCCACCTGGTGTGCAAAGCACCAATTACTGAAGCTATTTACAGATCTGGCCGGTTACAGCCTGCAACTACGTGTGATAATGTATAACACGGCATTAAATAAAGAATATTTCATCATCTACCCGGCCTGCAGTGGAATAAAGACAAGCAGCTGTTAACTGCAAAGGCTCCATTCAGCTGATTCTGACAAGCACAGGGAAATTTGTTTGAAATATTCTGGTGCTCATCTGCCACCTCATGCTAAAAGAACAAATTACTGCAGTGGTTGTCAAATGTTCTAATTGACCACAATGTGAACAAAAAGTGCACAGAAGGAATCTCCTCCGCCCGCTACTTGAAGTCCGGTATTAGATTTCTTAAAAGAAATAATTAAGTCATTAAAATCAGACTTTGACAGGCAGCCAGTGATTGGGGCAGTGAGTCACTTCTCCTCTCTTGCTGGGTGTTGAAAAGCCATAAAAGCAGCCTAACACAATCCATAGCCATAGCTGCAGTTTGCTGATATTACACTTCAACAATTAAGCCTGGTGGTTAAAGCAATTACAGATTTTGTTTGACAATGAAAGGAACATCTCAGTGATGTGCCAAAACACAAAAATTGAATACTCCAAATGAATAGTGTATCACTGTAATTACAAGGTATATTTCAATAATCCACAACGGCACAGATTTGTGATGTGTGAAAAAAGGTGACAAAAATAACAAATCATTTAGTCAGTTGAGTCCAAAAAACACAGTTGTTTTTATTACATCCTCACATGGATAGAACCGTATGTCAGCATGATGTCATTCAAGTTGAAAGTATTTGCACAAATAATCGCTGCAAATATGAATTATATTATAATCCGCTATAAACAATTGCCCTATTTTATTAGTGTCGGCTTATAGGCAGTAACTGTACAAACATTTACATCTTATTATACATCATTTAGAGGAGTTTGGCCACTGGTAAGGAACACTGTTCAAAGGGGAAGTTGGTTTGTTTTCATGTGTTCTGTACCTCAGTAAATGCTCAATATTCCCTATAAAAAAATCTATTTCTCGTGTATGTTCACTTTTATCTCAGTCACAAACCTCGCTGCCTCTTTTAATGGGTAGAATGTTGGTCTGTAAACACGGTATGCTGTAAATAATAAGTGGGGTACAATGATCAAATGTTTCACTTCACTATGATCTATTTACAGCTCCTCGTGATAAGCATCAAATCTTTACCAGGTTGTTTTAAAAATGTTTTACGTGTACGGACCCAAACACCCAGAATAAGGTTTGAATAATAATCTACGGGGTCAGCATGTTAATATTCGAAAGTGCACTCTCATATCTTTTTCAAATAGTCAAAAAGTGCATAAACTGCAGCGCTTCAACCCTGTTCCACTGCCTCCATGCTGATTTCATGCACATTGATTGTTTAGGCTATAGATGCGATTAGATTAAATAACAAAAAAAAAATTAGCTGGTTAAATTAACAGGTTCAGAACTACAGAAATCCGTCTTGCTCTCAAATACAGAGGAGTAAGATCGTCTCGGAAACCTTATAGTTGGTCATTCTATTTTATTGCTTACCAACATTTTAAGGAGAATTAAGTTACTACGGACATTGATATAATAAAGCGAGGGCAGCCATTGAACGTCATGACAGTCCCGTGTGGACGTCTTATCTACGAGTTCTGTGCTGACAGCCCAAAGTCAAAGATAAGACGTATTTCAGTCCAACACTCCTCAAAGATAGCTGCCTTCACCGCAACTGTAACGTCACTTTGGTTTGACGCGTGTGTACAAAAGAGCAAAAAATTAAACATGCCAATTCCTTCGAGACACTGAACTTGATAAGCCAATTATTTGCAACATCAGTGAGCTGTTTCGCTTGACTCAGTTAGCTCGTCCCCGTTGCCTTCACTAGTGGGACCTGCCGTCTCTTCTGCTCGTTTGCTTCTAGAGGGGACTTGATGTTGTTTTGGCTCAGTGCTCAGCACGGAAGATAGCTTTTGTTGAAGTCCAATCTCTCTTCCTGCTAATCCCAAAGTGATGAGCACACATCTTTGGCTACACGCTTTGAAGGCAGTGGCTCCGTATCATTAGATTAAACGAACTCAAATGAATCTTCTGTATTCAGTTATGTTAATATCACGTCAGACGTACATGAAACTAGCCAACACAATCCCTCTAGAGTTCTTAATTTCCAACACTCGCTTCCTAATGAAGATAACTACAACAGTTGGTCTATTCCGTATTAAATAATGCAACACTGATATACGTATCTACATTCTTGCATAATGCATGTCGGACTGTGTATTGTAATTAGGTGTGATGTAACCTAATAACATAGCATGGAATTATACAACTGAATTAATTCCCACATTAATCACCCAGGCGGGCCAGTTCACTATGAACCACTTTAAAAGTTTGCATAGAAACCTTCAAATCCCGAATAAAGTATTTTAAAGAATATGCTCTTGATACGCTCTTGTATTTCGAAATTTGGGCTGACTGACACCGGCAAAGAGGCAAAGAGTCTTTGCCACGCTCTCGTGAAGATGTGTCAAGAAAATCCCTGCTGGTTCAGCTCCAGTTGTGTCAGTCGATGTACTGAGATAACCATCGGAACCCTTCCCCGTAGCCTTGTTTTTTCAACACGCTGCACATGAAAATCTCCAGCGGCCGGCCGTTCAGATCCTTCAAAGACACGTTTCCCTGTCGAGAGCAAAAAGAGGCGGATGAGGATACCGCCTATTGCACACAGATGGAGAAATTGTGTTATTTTTTTGTGAGTTCAAAGACGGGGTCTAAGCCACGCCTACCTTTCCGGTAACTTGAGCGTCGAGAGCAAAAGCTCCTCTGAGGCCTCCTTCGCTGATGGCCTCATTGCGGTCAATTTTATTACCCAACACCAACACCGGTACATTGGCTATGGTCTCGTCTCCTAAAAGAGCCTGCAAATACCACAACAGCACAGTCTTTATTATCTACAGTTAACGGCTGCTTGGAAACACTTATTGCTGCGATGTTTGAACTTACATCCAGTTCAGTCTTGGATTCTAAGAGTCTGTCGTGGTCCGCACAGTCCACAAGGAAGACGACTCCATTCACAGCCGGCAGGTAGTTCTTCCACACTCGCCGAGCTGTCCGCAAAGAGAAAACAATTTGTGCATCGTGTGTCTCTTTGCAGCCAGGTCCAGATAATTCATGCAAAATGTACTTTTTCATCCATTTTATATATGAATGTTCATGCATCACCTCTACAAAATCCATTCAAAGGGATCAATGTTATAGACTCAGTGGTTCAATCTGACCTTATTTGAAATGCTTGTAATATGTCAACGGTCACAGAGACATCATGTGGCAGCCGTGGGAACTCCACCCTTTTCTGTTTTCCCCATAAGACTGAGTAATCTGATGCTTTTTTGTTAGAAGTAATTGCCGGTAACTGTAATACTAATTCCTGTGCCAACCCTCTCTCTCTCTCTTGCAATTGTTGATCTTTCATCACAGAATTTGTGAACAACTTTGAAAACAACCACTTCTGGTGGTGAAAATAACGGCCTAAAAATGTAGTGTACACATCCACTTAGTTATGACGTAGGTCTGCAGGTCTACAGACAAATATATCTATATTAAAATTGAGAAAGATCTTACCTTGTACATGACCCCCTAGATCAAATGTAGTAAATGTCATTCCACCAATTGAGAGCTCTTCTGAAGCTTTGAGAAGAAAAAGAAAATAAGTTCTCTATTACTACTGAGGATTGGCCTGCACAGGGAGAACAGCACAGCTGGTAATTGTAGAGAACTCATGTCAACTTGCATCTGACTACCATCTCAATCTTTCCTTACTTGGATGCAGCGTCGGCACATGTTGGCCAAGTCGGTCATCTTTTAACATGTGTAGGAGCGTTGTTTTACCGGCATTGTCCAGGCCCAGGAAAACCAGCTTCCCGGACTTTTTGTACAGACCTGGAAGATAGATTTCACAAGTGAATCAGAAATGACCTTCAAATTCTGTGGGCAGAATCCAGGTCCTGCTTAGTCCCTGATGAGGAAAAGAACAAATATGATAACAATCCCTGAACATTTCATGCTCTATGGTTGTAGGCTTTTGTTTATTTCCCATACACACTGATTAGTTTAAGTCAATAATTTAATACCAAAAAGTACTATTCCTCAAAGGGAGCAACAGCAGACCTCATATAAATCTGTCAAAAACACACTCAGCACTTACCTAAGAACTGTAAAACACTACTAAAGCCCTTGTAGATCCAGTCGAATAAAAAAGACATCTTGACGTTCTTTGACTGAAACCAAAAAGAAGTCACATTACCGTCACATTAAACTGCCTTGAGTGGCCAGAAACGAGAAATGCTTGTCTTGGCATTGCATTATTTTTGCTCCGCTCTGTACTATAAGTAAGAAAGCTGGACAAAGTATTTGAAATACCCATCGATAATGTGTCATAAGATTGGTCTGCTTATAGAAGGAGTGTTAATATTTAAATGAGGTAGTGTAGCATTTACAGACCAATAGAACACAGAAGACATTTTGTCAGGAAAATCACCAGGTGGAATATATAACATCAGAAACAAATCCACCCCCCAATCCATGGAGGTGAGCTGGTTTTAGGGTCCTGGGGGGCATGTTGCCTCGCTGCCTCGCTGACTGAGACACTTGATGGAATTTAGCCATTGTTATCTACGTTTGATTGACCTTTGACGAGCCAACGTGCCTGCCCCGATGAAGGTCTATCATTGCTTAACATTAAGTTACATCACACTGGTGTTGTTATCATGGACTCGGTAGACGTGGCATGTCATCGCACAACTGTACCCACGCGCAGGAGGTGGCCGGTTACCATTAACGTTAAGTCAAATGTAATCTTCAAAAGTCCCCCAGCATTTAACTGTTGGATCGAACTCCAAACGCTAATATTTGTGATGACCGTTGTAGGCAGCTAACGTCAGCTAGCTAAATTTCCTATGTAACAACGCAAAATGTTGCTAACGTTATATAATTACGTGAAATAACAGTCATGTCAACAGTGTAAAACCAAGAACACAAAAGCAACTGTAGTCGAGTGACTGTCTGCGTTTAGCTTGTACCAATGTGCTCATGGACAGACATAACGTTAGATGACGCTTTTTTAAAGCTAGTTAGCATTAGCATATTAGCTTAAAACCTTAACCCTCTGGAACTTTCTAGTCCGATCACATCCGCGTCAGGGAAACAAAAACGATTGTGCACGAATGTATTATGAGCCGCAGTCAACAGCGCTATACATTTGATCGAATTTACGTCAGAATTGTTTTCCAACACTAACGTCAGCGTACTTACCCCTCAGCCCTTACCAGCAGCCCGGCGTATACAGCAGTATCGGTGGTCTCCTTGGAAACAGTCAATCAGACATCCGCTTCTTCGTCTTCTTCTTCGCGTGTTAGAATTCCATGTTTCTTTTGCACTGTGACGCAGTAGCGCCCTCATCAGTCTTTGGCTGAGCAGGGGATCTACCAAAGGGTCCGCAGCTTTGTGTTTTTCTGCCCTAAAACTCTTTTGGTTGATGTTTTTTTAAACTCTGGTTTCAACCGTTTTTTTTTAAACAAACATACAACAATCATTTGCATGTATATTGAGTGGCAATAAATGTTTCCTGATCCTGATTCCTGAGTGAATGGAAAAAAAGCCAGGAGGAATAAACAACAAATACTTAAAGCTGTCATGATAACTTGCAAAATTATACTGTTACTGGTATTACTGGTTAATCAAATGAGGTGGATTAAAGGAAAACACTACAACTACCGCACCAAAACAGGTTACGTGGCTTTATTAAAATATTTTCTCCAAAATATTTCCAATAGTACACCATTATTAACTTAACATTCTGAACGTAAACACAGGTTCATGTGATGACAATATATATTCTTGGCAATAAAATCAATACAATACCATATAGACCTGGGTTTAGAGTAGTTTATTGTCATGTTTCTTATAGGTGACTATGTCTTAAATGTACTATGCCACAATCACACAACAAGCAGATTTAGACAGCATCAGACATGACCTGTGTAAACAGAGAATCAACTAAATGCAACATTACATTACATGTCATTTAGCTGACTCCAATCCATCCCAGTTTGTGTGGTGCTCTGATGTGTTGAAACCAGACGGAAGGAACAAGATGTGAAGGACGTTTTCCGCCGAGGATTTATCCTCCTACTTCTCATAGTAGAACCATGTATCGACTGAGAAACAAAAGAAAGTGTTTTTTAATTTCCTAGAGTAAATACAGAGTAGCTGCAATAAAACCAATAAATATAAAAAAAAACACCGACCCGAACTTGGAATTGGATCTTCGGCTCCAAAAGCACTTGCCTGCAAAAAAGTTATTGATGTTATTCTTTTCTCAACAGATACATGAGGGAATTGTTGGTCTCATTAGTGTCTTCTGTCACTATTGATCCTCCCCTTTGGTCTGAGGTGTGTCTGTAAGTAAGACATACTTACAGACTCAACCACAGCTTGTGCGTCTCCAGCGGAGCAGCAGAACGGACTCTCTGAGACACTGGTGTTCATGCTGATAGAAGGAGGAGATGAAACAAAAGGAAATGTTTTCAGAAAGTATTAGTATTAGTAGTATGCATGTATTCATACAGTCTCACTGATTTATCCTCAGTAAACAGTCCAATAACTATACAGTACAGTTTGTGATCTGCACACGGCTCTTGATAATCATCTTGTGGATGTTATGACAAGAAATATTTGCTGTCTGGATAATTCAACTCACCAATTCAACTCGCCAGCATCGGTCCTCTTGGAAATCAGCGCCTTCCAAAACTCGTTGGTGCTCTTTATGGTTTTAATGGCAAAGTCCTGGAAAAGACAAATTAAAAAAAATGTTCCCTGCAATCTTATCTCTAAAAATATTTTATTACTTTAATTGTTTTTTAATTAAAAATTGTCTTAATATCTTAGTTGTTTATCAGTTTGAATACAAACGGGGAAATTCAGGGATACTGTTTAATCTACGGATCTTAACAACATGTCCTGACATTTGTAAAGCACAGCACTAATCCTGTCAATCCAAGTTTAAAAAGTGTACCCTGTCCTTGAACTCTCCGTTGAAAGCAAACTGGTTTTCCGGTTTCCCGTCTGGGATTTTGTATCTTTTGAACCAATCAACAGTCGCTTCCAGGTATCCCGGCTTGAGCCGCCTTACATCATCGATGTCTGCAACAAATCACAAATAGCTTGTGTGACTGATTTCAGATTATTTTTTCTTCCCCTAATGCGGTGCGTTTCATACCGTTGAAGCCGGCGGCTTCGGGGTCCTCGGTATTGATCACAATGACCTTCCAGTCTGTTTCACCCTCATCGATCAAAGCCAGAGTTCCCAACACCTTCACTTTGATTATTTCTCCTCGGGAGCACACCTGAAAGTGCCAAAGACATTTAAAAAGAAAAAAAGAAGCTGCAAACAGTTGAGCTTAAATCAGTTTCCCCCAAGCTGCCGGTCACCTTATTTCCTATGTCACATATATCGATAGGGTCATTGTCTCCACAGCAACCCGTGTCGCTGTCCTTGTGGTTTGGGTCCTCCCATGTCTGTGAAAGCAGAAAGCTTGTGTTTGATGGAGCAGGAACACAGTCGGTTTCCCCTCTTTGTTTGAGTGTTGTTTATGGAATGTACCTGTGGAATAGCTCCATAATTCCAGATGTAGCCTTTGTGAGGAAACACATTGGCCACGTAACGGAGGTTCCCCTTCTTTATATCTTGTTTCAGAGGATTCAGAGGATCTTTGGTGGCAATCTGACAAACAGACGGGCCAAAAGACGATAAGTTCAACAAAGTAAAAAAATGGGGGGAAGCACCGACTCACATTGTTAGTTATCGTTATTAGTAAAAAGTCTATTTTACTGAAGCAACATTAAGTGTAACACTTCTAACAAGCTAGTAACAATAAAAACATCACAAAGTCATCATTGTGTGTGGAACCTGGACTAAAAAGTAACCATGTCTGTGACAGAAGATCAGATTTATCCTAACATATACATACATCTATGAAATGAATATAAGGAAAGATACATCAACATAATACATCTATAGAGGGATACTTTTCAAATACATCCATTTATGTTTCATATACCTCCATCTTTGCATTTGTCCATCTCGGAACCTCCACAACTGCGTGAAAAATATTCTGCAAGATGAACGGAAATGCCAACGGTTAATTATCTTCACATTTTTCTGTCACGTATACAGTGAGTAAAACATGGAAGACTATTCAGATTTAAGAACACAATCGTTTTTTCATAAGGGATTTTACGATATCTATCTGTGTCTCAACTGAAGCTCGGATCCTAAAGGGTCAGTTAAGGCGGCCCAGTAACTATGGCACCCAGGGGTCTCAACATCTGTACACCACTGCGGAACGGTTGACTCCATCTCATTGGTCTGTCTTCTCTTTTCTGAAGCCAAAACAGCAACAAGGACCGGAGTCATATTAGTCACCCGAGGTGAATGATTAAGCCATCGGTGTATTTTTCTGAACATGTATACATCGCAGCCCCAGCAACAAGTGTAACAGCAACAGGCGTGTCACGTGGACCTGACCTCTGCTTCGTTTGCGTAGATGGGTATGTCGTGGAACGGAGAGATGTATTTGCCCTCCGAGTTTTCTGTGAAAAACAACAACAAAGCAATGTTAAGTCTTATAAAAACGTTCCCCTTCGAGGGACTAAAAAGTGTGAGCTTTACCTCAAAAAGCTGTAAGAGTACTTGTCAATCACGCAACTAATACAGTCAAATTATCCCCAAAAACACCAGTCGCCCCCAAAGAGCAGCACTCACTGAAATACAGCCGGTGGTCCCTGGTGTTCGGCCTGCCCCTCTCCTCCGTGGTAACGCTCATGTCTGGTGCTGCCGTCAAGCTCTCCCACTGTGGGCTTATACAGGAGCACTAAGACGCGCCTGACTGACAGGCGTCCAGAGACAGGGACACAGGGGGGGTGGAGCAGGCATGCGCAGTGAGTGCTGAGTGCTTAGCCAAGGGAACCCGAGCTTGAATTGGCTCCCATGTGGTCTGTTTGCAACCCTCGACCTGTCATCCGTGAGGCCCACGAGCCGCGGCCCGAATGTGGAGTTTCTTTGCCCTGTTTGCGTTTGGAGACTGTGGCTGTTGGGAGTCAGAACCGAAACAGATGGAGCCGTAAACCAATTAACGCGCGGGGATTAGTGCTCAGGCCGTGACTTCTGTCACCATTTGACAACGTAACATTGTGGGCCTATTTTTACAACATGACCTGTTTTCCTCTCTAAAGACAGGTGGCGTGGTTGATGTTATGGGTAATTGATGGTTTCTAATGGAGTTTGCCACGCTTCTTAATATTGGAAATGTAAATTAGAGTATGGTGTTTAATTACGTTGATTAAAACACAATTTAACATATATATACATAAACTAAACAATGTACAGAACAACATATAATATTGTAATATATTATACTATAGAATATACTATAATAAACTATGAAAATATGCAAAACTACTACAGCAAGAATATAAAATTATATTATGCATTATATTATATATAACGTATTGTATTATATCTGACCAGTTGTTGATGCCATTATCAGTTAAACAAATAACTAAAGTACCACAATGTCATGATAAAATTGTAATGAAAATAGTCTTTGAGAGTAGTTTATTAAATCAACTGATTAACAAGGACCTGATTATTTGGAGAAATGTATTGTATTTAAGCTAAAAAAACATACAAAGTGTAATTTATTGACAAAAACGCTGCCTGCGTTAAGCAATATTCGTCCCACTACAACATCCCACTAATCAAAAAAAAGTGAACCGTGTGTAGTTTTCCTCTGGTTTATAGATGGTTAAAGCCCAGGGGGTCTGACGGCAGCGCGGTGCACGACACAAGGTCACGGCCCGGGCAAGCAGAGGAGTCATGTGACTCCGTGAGCCTCTGCGCTGAATATTCCCCTAGACCCGACGGCATCGAGACTCCATTCAATTCTAAAAAGCTTCACTCACATAAGAAGGTTTTGCTCGTGTGTGAAGCCCTCACATCCCATAACACCACCTCGCTCTTTCTGCCTCTCTGTGGTGGATTTGTCACAAAGGCTCAACACGGGGAACCCAAACATCAGCTTAAAGGTGATCGACTCTGCAGTGTTGCTATTTAAAGAATTCTTGAAAGGCCTGAGCGAACCACTTAATACTGCGGATCTGTCTGTCACCTGCAGATGGAGGTTGAAGGAGTTCCAATGTAACCTGAATAAATAGAGTCTCTGAGGGGCCTCCTGCTCGAAACTAGTGATACGAGTATTTAGATGAATAAGAGGAGAACGCGTTCCTTATGGTTTAACAGTCTGCTGTTTCACATCAGCATATGTGATGAAGTAAAGTTTCTATCCTTTAACCAAATTGTTGGCCTAACTAGGAATCTTAAACCATGTTTGTCTTCTCTGGTTGTGAATGTGAACATCGATAACTCGGGTTGAAACAATTCTCCAACTACTTCAACAGAAACATTTGTAGCCGTTTAATAAGCAATTACAAATTGAACAAAAGCCAAACATGCACCTGTCCAAACTTCTCAAATGTGATGATTAGCTTGTTTTCAACTGTTAGAACTAAGAAAAAGTTATTCAGAAAGTTATTTTTTCTGACATAAATAACAGAAACCGTCACCCAGTTAAAAACTATTGTTTCAAGTGCATAATCTTTAATTGAAAAAAAAAATGTTACACAATAAAAAGGAATAAATACGACATTATTCATCTATAAATCGAATGGTGTATAAACGGGTTGATTGCATCGCTTTGTAGTTCATAAATAGTACAAAGTAGAGGCTGCGGGGTAAATTCATGAGCAGAACTGCAAACCTTAAAAAAAGAGAGGTTTATCTTTAATAAACACCTGCGTTCTCCTTGTTTCTTGTAAACCATTTTGACATCTTTAGTTCGATATGTTCAAGTATTTTTCCCTTATCTCTCGGGCACACCGAAGCATCTAACTGAAATAGCTAAAAAGGCACACAGCATGCAGCCCACGGGTGGGTGAATATTAGCACTCTGTTTCAAAACCGTGCAGAGACTGCAGAGCCGACTGAGTGTTTGAGTCCAACGGGTTCGACTTCACGTTGAGCCACTTCAGTGCTCGCATGTCAGTCAACTTCTCCACTGGTATTTCTGAGGGACAAAATGAGAATGAGAGAGTCAACTCCAGCTCAAGGCGTTTAACAAAATACAACCCCTTAATGGTGGTGTATCGTTATCACCTGTGATGCCATTTCCCTGCAGGTTAATCCTCTCCAGCGTGGCTATTTCAGTCAACTTGTCAGGGAAGACGGAGAAGCTGTTATTCGCCAGATTGATGCAGGTTAAATGCTCCATTTCTCCCACGCTGGCAGGCAGTTTGGTGAGAACGTTTCCTCGCAGGTCGAGTTCTGCAATAAGACAGGCGTGAATAGAGGGGTGAACGACGTAAAACAACTCTGTCTTTTCTAAGAGATTATTCAGCGATTAAAACAGCTGCAGTGTCTTATTCACAACCTCTCAGCTGAGTGAAGGTTGAAAAGAGTTTGCTGGAAATGGACTTCATCTCATTGTCAGCCAGTGTGATAACGCGGATGTTGTCCGAAACACTCCTGAGGACCTTAAACACACCGTCTGGGAAGGAAATGAGCTTGCAGTTTGACAGGTCTGACGGAGAAGAGAAAATAAGGTGGTTATTAAGATTATGAAGCTTTAACGCATCTTCCATAATTAACATTTACACTTTTGAGATTTAACGTTATTTGTAAAGACAGATGTTAGCTTCTGCCACCACCTGCAGGTCTACCAGATTATTGGATTTAGGGCTTTTCATTCAGCAGAACGAGGAAGAGAGAACATGAGATCTTACCCAGTGTGTCACTGCCCTCCTCTACGGTTGCATTCACCCTCCGGGCCACATTTGCGACTGCCTCGGCCATTATTCTGTTGTGATCGTTCCTAAAGAAAACGTTACATGGCACGACACATTTACCTGTTTTATACACGAGATGTAAGACAAGTATCAATTACAGTACCTAAAAATTACAGTATAATAATCAATGCGTATCTATCTTCATACAGTTACTAAACTTATATGGTCTCATTTATCACTGAAATGAATATTGGATGACTTATTTCCGTTTGTTGTAAAATTAACAGCAAAGGGAAATAGGTACATTAAGATTGATCTTTTTTTTAAAAGGCCCAAATGGTGAGGATTCTTATGTGTTAGGATCAGTTGACAGAACACATAGAGGTAATAAGAAATAAAAGCAGATGGGGAAATAAATCAATATTTCAAATGTATTGGCCTCAAAACAAGAAAAATAAGTATACTGAAAACTTTTAATGCAGGATGACCAATTAACGATAATATACATGGTTTTATTGGATTATACATTTGAAAAATGACTATGTACAACCCTTTAATTTTGCATGAATTTATATGCTGCTGAGAGGCTTAACTTATAATAATATTCATACATGATTCGTGATTCATATTTTGTTTAAATAATATAAATCTGCAAAGTAAAAAAAACTGTCTAATAAACGTATAGTAAAAAGTACAACATTCAATACAAGTCAGTTCACTGGAAGTCAATCAATGCGAGTCGTGATAAAAAATGACCAAGATATTTAAGTGACGTCAACACCAGTTCTTCACAAATCACGTTTAGTCAATGTTGCGTCTGGTTAACTTTACTTAACGTTTTCCAACATGTCGCTGGGTAACGCCACTACAAGAACACATGTCCTTCCTCTACAAGAGTTTCGTGAAGGATAACTCAATAATAAATCAGCTTTGGCACTGATAGAAAGACTGATACACACGGTAATGACTTCAATATAGCACTGTTTCATTTAAACCACGTCAGGAAGACACTTACCCAGTTAAACTAGAAGCTAGTTACAGAGCCTGACAGCTGCCAGTTAGCTAGCGTTAGCTACAGAAGCTCCACCGCAGCCTAATTTTGTGAGTGTGTATTTTTAGCCCCGCAGATGGCAGTTCACCCGAATGGCTGTGTATTCATAAGACAAGTGGGATTAGCAACACCCCATTCAGTAACGTTTAACACCCGTTTTAGACGTCGTTGTCCAATGCGACAGTTAGTAACGCTAAGTAAAGACTATGCTAACGTTAGCAAACACAATGCTAGGAAATGCTTCAATTCACGAGCGTCACTACTGCGCTCTCAAGTTGCCGACGACGTAACCGTAGCCGAAATGAATTACAATTAGCAGTAAAAAAAAAAGCAGTTATTCAACGTGTGAAGAAGTAATACTTATTAGGATTATTTTAGGATTTTTTTTTTCAGTCTGTCAATGTTGGGTCACCATCTTCAAACCTGTCCTGCTCTTTAAAATTAGAATATTTTGCACTGAGACTGAGCGCATCGTTATTTCCCCGGCCATGCTCATTTACTCTGAATATCTAACTTATATAATATTATAAATGAAAACTCTTCCCATAGACATATTTTCATTAAGTTAATTGTTGTCTTACCTCTGACTCCTGGCCAACTATTCCCAGGTTGTGTACTGGTCATGACTCTGGCAAATTCCTGGTTAGTCTGTATTTTTAAAGCATCTGAATACAATGAGCTCTCTCTGGCTTCAGGTGAATAGTTTGTCATTGTTACAACTAAAACTGCCACTGGACAGTATTTTCTGGATATTCCTCTATACAATGCCGTACTTTGATGGGGCTCCAACACTCTAAAACTAGAAAAATCCACCTTTTTGCATCGTATAGTTGAAGACATTACTATGTCTGTAATCTGAGTGACACGTGTAGGTATTGTATTGTAGTGTTTCGTGCGTACGTTTGCGAGTGTGTCATGTTTGTGGCCGCATGAGGCGAAATCTAGTAATCTTACCAAAACCAAAAAAGTTTTTTAGATACATAAGATGTTTGATACCGAGCACCTTCATAAGATAACCCATTAGTGCTGGTTAGTTAAAAAACACAATAATGCATCTGCAAAATGTTTATAAATACAATTTCTTTAATATTTACAATAAATATACATCAATTTACAGTTACACATATGTGCTGTGCAATAAAAAACAGTGCTGGAATATTCAACAACATTGCCATTTCATGTTTACATTGATGAAATTGAAAAGGGAAATAAAGCTGTACATCAAATTGTGACATCTGCACAAGGCTGGAAGGCCGGATGATATTGTGAGTTTGTATTTCAGTTAATCTAAAAATAAAAATGTTCTCCCTAAAAAACAGGTATCCCATCGCAAATTAAGATTCCATCTCTGCACACAGATCAGCTAAATCTCACAGTTCATAGATACAAATATCAAAGAGCTTTCCCCCTCTTGGCTAAGTGTTTTCTTTTAGTTTTTTCCGCCATCGGCTGCTCTGGCGCAGCATGTTTTAACACCGCTCAGCAACACAGGTCGTCTTTGGAGGTGGTCGTCGTTGTCACTGGCAGCCACATTCATCCACTATCATGTTCTCGTGATGTCGGAGGAGCATTTCTGAGTTCTCGTAGTACAGCATGCTCAACGGGCTCATTTTGGTTGGGGCACAGCAGGGCGCAGTCACGCGGTCAGGGTGGAAATGTTTCAGCAAACTCTGGAAAATAAAAACAAACAAACTGAAGATTTAGAAAGGTAACCGCAGTCTTAAAAAAATACATTTCTGGAAGTAAACCCCGGCAATATTTTTTAGATGAATTATTACGGTATTTTATTCATTAATTAATTATTAATGTATTTTATAGAACTACAACTAATGAGTATTTGTACACTTGATTATTCTGGTAACTGTGTAGGTCATGAAGCTGCACACACTGAGGTGACTGAGCCTCAGATGATGGATCAGTTACACTCATGACAACAACATACAGTAGAAACATAACCTGCTGCACTAACCTGCATGTACGCATGATTCGTCGGATTCAGGTCTTCCCCCAGGGGCCCGGGGCAGGAGCCCTCACAGCGGTAGGCGTTATATCGTTTGGGAAAGACGATCCAGGACCCCCAGCCAATCTGATTAAAGTCCACGTGCATTTCGACTCGGCGACAGAGAGGGTTTTCGCTCCCTCTCTTGGAGGCCTGCGGGCTCCTCGCCGGCTGCTCTATCTGGCCCCGTTTGCTCCGGCGCCTCTTGGGCCCGCGGGCCCTCCTGATCTCAGCCGGGGACAAGAACTTGGATTGTTCGGCCGTGTGAAGCAAGCTGGCTCTGGCCTTGGAGCTTTCATCCGAGGCGGTTTGCGAGAAGACGACCAGCAGGGCCCGGTCGCTCACGTCCTGCTCTCTCCTGGGCTGGCCCGGGAGCGGCAGGCTCCTCTTTGTCTTCCCCGCTCTCCCCCTTCTCGACCGTCTCCTCTGTTGAGTTCTCGCCGTGGCCGCCTTCCGGCTGAGCCAGCTCAGCAGGGGTTCCGTCATGTTGAAGACTCTCCAGCTCTGCGACGAAGTGACCAGTGAGGATTCCGTGAGGAGCCCCACCAGCTGCTGCTCCCGGCAGCCCGCCAGCGCGTGGCACGCCTGGCCGTGGTGGTGGTACACCGCCACCGTGACGTTGGAGGCGTTGGCCCTGCGGGGAAGCCGGATTCTCAGCTCCGCCGCCTGGATCTGCTTTTCGGCTACGAGGGCCTTGAGGTCAAAGGTCGCAATCCAGCGACTCTGATTGGACGTCAGACCTGATGTGGTGGGAAGAGAAAGATTAGCGGAATGGCAACCCGGACGGCGTCAAATTATAACTCGCACCAATGTTCCAACACATGAATGTCAGGAGAAGCAAAGTATAACAAGCAAAATGGTTATTTAACTGTGAAATGCTATTTCCAAGAGTTATGAACAGTGATTTCTTCTTCACTTTAGCAAAGACTTCCGCTGGGATGAGGTATTTAATAAGTAAAAAATAGTATTGAAAAACACTGTTTAATTTCAAAGTTTGTATTATCTCTGGTAATAACAAGCTATTTTGTGCTTTATTGACATTTTAATCTAAAGGCTCTTTGTGCTTATGTGATGTACCTTGACTTTTTGGTTACTTGATTTACTGAATTTTTCCTGTAATTACTTTCTTCAATAGATACATTTGACATACTCGTCAATATTGTCTGATAAAAGTGTACACTGTGGGAACATTTGCACGCCACATGGTTGTGTGTCTCAATATTCATGTACATTTTTCAAAACAACATCTGCAACTTATCCACGATGGTGCATCCCCCAATCATCGTTATAAACCATATTGATCAATGTTAAGGTTCATGTTACTTAATCCAATCACCTCCTTTGTTCAGCAAAGTGGGCTGTGAGGAGTATGATGAATGTACTAATCCCCTTTGATAACTTCTATTATGACTTCTTGATTAATGCTCGTACAGATGGGGATCCATTCAGAAACAATCCAGTCATTGTTCTGCTGCTGCGCCCGTACCTGTAACGGGGCCTCTCATTGTGACTCAACCGACAGGCGGGGTTCAAATTAATCTAAAGGATTAAAACAAAGGTTAAAACGTTAAATTTGTCCACCGCCGTGCATCGGCCTATTTATCTAGACTCTTGATCAAAAGTGCAAACCGCCCCTCGCCCCCTTCATCCGCTCAAACCAAACACCGATCCGAAAACCAATCACTTAACACACCTCTGCCTCGCCTGGCTTCTGCATATCCTCAGACAAACAAATAGGTAGTAACTCTAACACCTAGCGGCGATGTGAAATTAGACTCAGCAGCAGGGAGGGCCTTCCCTCTGTTGTCCCCTGTGTGGCTGCTTGTGCCATTAAGTCCCGAGCTCTAATCTAATCAAGTCAAGTGTGAAAAAAAAGAACTAAGGGAAGTTGTTGATTTGACTTAAGAAGAGATTTGTATAGGGGGATGTCTGGCAAGATGTCTAATCAACATCACCTATATTAGGTAGAAAGAAAAAAAACGAGGTTTGCTTTGAGAATTAGACAGAAACCCGTCCTTTTCACACGCTGATCCCAGCGTGGTTACCCCCCCCCCCTTCAAACCCCCCTAAACGGGATGTGGATTGAAACCCTCTGAGGTCGTCTGGCTCCCAGCTTTGACAGCAGCACTTGAGCCCTCAAAAAAAAAGAGAAAAGAAACCTCTCAAAAGTGTCTTTAAGTGATTCAGACTGTGATCTGACTTTGAACCACGGCTTCACGCAACCTTTCGGAATAAAGCGTTTCAATACATTTCGCATAACTCGGTTGAACTTCAATCCCACAAAATCAATAATAAAAAAAATTGAAAAAGGCGCGTCTTACTTTTTGCCATCACGCTCTTTACGGTGTCCGCCTGCCTCGCGCGCTGCGGCTCCACGGCGTCCGAGGGCCTGGAAAAGTTGGACTTGAAATTCCTGTACAGATGCATCATGTAGGTCGGCAGGTGGTACCCGGTGGATCGGTCCGTCCCGGCGGAGGAATGCTGCTGCAAACTGTAAACTCCATCCCCGCTGGCGTGGATCCCCCGAGCGAGCAGCAGCAGCATCAGCAGCAGCAGCAGCAGCAGCGATGCGTGCAGCGCCGCGGCCGCAGCTCCCGCTGAACGCATGTTTCGTGCCGGTTATAATGAGAAGTTCCTCTCCTGGGAGATTAGGGGGGTTCTTATATACCCTCACCCACCCACTTTTATGTTTAACAAGTAGCTGAGAACATTAAAGGAAATTGACATGCGTCCTCAAGACTTGTTACCTGACAGCTCATCATCCATTCTGTTGGTAATGAGGCGCCTGGGTGCGTGTTTACAAGGAGAGAAACTCTTTTGTTTGCGACATGTTATTTGGGCTCCTGCAGCCCGATTCCCCCCCACACACACCACACACACTCTTGGATTAATTGTTGCAGCTGCAATTTACACTGATTGTTAGGGTTTCCCATAGGTTGATGTCTACGGAACCATTCAGGACAACTATTGGGCTGCTGCGTGTTTATAGGACAAAGAGTAATGCAACATTAGTAATGATAACATACAACAATGTGAATAAAATCGTAGCAATTTTATTGTACTTATCTATAGCAAGTTGTAAATCGGCTTATCTGATGGCATTTCTTATGGGTTGGTTGAAATCCACTTATTGAAAGTCGTGACGTAATAATGTAATGTAAAAAAACCCATATAATCATCAGGATTGTCTTACTTTAAATATTTAAAAAAACATAGATATCATTCCTGTTGGTATGTAAATGTAAAAAACAGCAATGACCAACAACATATAGCCTACAATATGTAATTTATACTATGCATTCACTTATACGAATATACTGTTCATATAGAGCTTTAAAGCTTATGTATTCTTAATATTGGATTTTTACTGACTTCCATGCTTTTATTGTGTTTTAGTTTTCCCAGTATGATGCTGGTGCTAATATCCCAGAATGCAATAGAACTGCACGAACAACAATGCTCAGTAATTCTTATTTTAGGGACCGCATGTGAATAACATTGGCCGGTGAGACTTGCACGGAGCGTCCGAGGATGACCGCACACTGCGCATGCGCTGTCCTTCGTCCTCGCACACATAGCGAAAATCCTTTTCCTCGTAAATTTCCAGAGAGAGGAACCCCACCAAACCACCCCACCCCCCCCCCCAAAAAAATCAATGAATGTTGTTTCTTCCCTCTTAGAACAAAAAGCGAACGCGGTGCACCGCAGCTTCATCCTCCACGGGACAAACCGGCTGCACGCAGATATGCTTTTCTTAAACGCCGGAGCCTTTTCTCCACCCACCGTGTGCTGAAATGGTGAGTAGATGTAGAAGTTTTACGGCTCTCGTTGCACGAGCCTCGACTGGCGAGATCTCGCCGCACGCACACGCGTCTTTTCGGACGCCGAGACTCTCCCCGTTACAACGTACGCGCGATGCATGCTTCCCCCCCCCGCTGGTTATTTTGTGTAAGAGAGAGAGAGGGGTCTTTATAAAAAGAAGCGTTTGCGTGGTTAATATGTGTGCACCCCCCCCCCCCCACACACACATGGCTGCACCGTGTTGTGCAGCATTTTGCCAGGTCCCAGGAAGTGATGACCGATCTGAAGTTGGGATAAACTCTGACCTGTAGTTTACCAACCAGGTCTCAGGCAAACACACACGTGGGGGGCGGATGAATGGAGATGTGGGCTTTTATTTTCTTTAAAGATGCATTTGTGCTGATTTTACCGATGTGTCACGCGTTCGGGTTGTGCGTCACGTGACTTTTTTTCTGTGCACCTTTTGAATACTTGACCCTCTTTATAAACCCCAGACAACAACATCGCCCACACAAGGACAACATTAATAGCATTGTGTCATTGATTGACCTGAATGTATTTTATTATAGATATTTAATGCAAAATCAGTCAGTTGAAAGCTCCGAGAAGCTACTGTAAGTAGACCTTAAGTATATTTGGCTACACAGGTAATAAATATTGTTGTTATCAGTGTCAGGATCTCCGATCCCCCCGAGTTGGTTGATGAGAAGGATCGCAGCACGTTGATCAATTAAAGTCAAAAGTTAACATTTATTTAGAAGAGAAAAAGATTACATGAGCAATTCTCCGCAGATATCTGGCTCTAACTATTGCTTGCAAGCAGGAGGTCAGACACACCAGCACGTATCTCAGCGCTCGGCGTAATGACGTCTCCGAGCAGTAAAAACGCTGAGTTTTTATACACATGTGAAGAACGTTCTCCGTGCCAGTTACGAGAAGCTGCAAAGCAGGTTGAGATAAGAACCCAGGTGAAGCTGAGGGTAGCGCACACACACACACAAGATCCTCCTCAGTGGCCGGTGCAAATCATAATTAATTGACATGAAGTAAAAACGTGGATCCGAGAACTTTCGTACCGAATAAGATATGAACCAAGGCCGTGAACAGAAGTCCTTTGTTTTGAAGCGTCTATGAGATCGAGTCGACCGTCCTCCCTTCTCAGCGCACAGCTGCAAACTAACATTTTGTATCATGGTGCTCTTTGCACGTCAGGGTCAAATACAGACACTTGAGACACGGCTTTAGCACAAAACAATGTTATAATATATTTTACCAGTACATGCATCTCACATCAGCTATTGCGCTTAACATTTAGCTTTTTCTTAATGCAATAAAATAGACCATCACTGAATACATTCTGTCAGTGCAACATAAAGCCCACAGGACGCGATCTATTAGGTGTGATGCAAAGTGCTGCCGTGTCGTTTGATTCACGCCGTGCAGCCGAGGCCGGTCCGCGCTGCTCGCATCCCTTCACCTCCCATCCCGTCACCTCCCATCCCGTCACCTCCCATCCCGTCACCTCCCATCCCTTTACCTCCCATCCCTTTACCTCCCATCCCTTCACCTCGCATCCCTTCACCTCGCATCCCTTCACCTCCCTTCACCTCCCATCCCGTCACCTCCCGTCCTGGGGGGGGACCGAAACTGGCTCTCGACAACCGAGAGCACAGATCAATCCTGCGAACGTCACAATTAATCAAGAGTGAGCGCATGACGTCCCCTCGATGAATGGACACCTGGATCATAAATGATTGAGCTATTTACTTTAGGCTTATCTTGATAAGAGGAATGGTGGCAGAGGCTTTTCTCCCCCAGGTCTCAACTTGAGATGTTGCTGATTATCTGGTGTGAAATGGTGTTTGATTCTTAACTAAATCGCTTGGGAGTTCAAAACCGGGGGTCCAGTTAGAGTTAAAACCAAGGATTGTTTCAAAAAGCTAGACGTTTGTGTCCCATAAAATATTTAAATCTTTTACTATTTCATGCAAATCTGTAGCCTTTGGAGTGTTTATTATGAGATATTGAACATCCTGGTGAACTGCAATGAATGCAATAAATTTATTTTGCCACAAGGTGTCACATTCGAACGCTGGACTCAAGTGGATATTTAATACCCCTCAACATTAGCATTTCATCTTCTCAAAGTGTCAGTGATATCGTCAAGATTTGTCCCCATACAGCCGCCGAATAAATAACATATAAACAATAACATCAAGGAAGTTAATATCTGACCCATTCATAAGTCACTTCACAATAACTCTCATACAGCAGCGGCAGTCAGCTGAACTTTGGCCGAGGTGAAATAGTTTATCTCCTCCTTTCCTGTTGCCATTAAAAGGCTTTTACCAAATTGGCCTTTTGGGGGTAAGACAGACTCCAGACCTGAGATGTTCAGATTAGACAGGTGATGTGATCCGGATGCTCTTTCTTTTTCCATTAAGGGCTTCTAAGAACAGAGGAAGCAGACCCTCCATCCCGTACTCTGCTTTATTGCCGTCCGATAAACCAGTCAGAAGGAAATGAATGGTTTAAACCCATCAGGGTCAATAGAGGCCTCATTTTTTAGCTTTATAGTTGCTTTATTTCTTTATATTCAGGATCTAATCACATTTTTGATTGCTCACTCACTGGATTGATTCATTCATGTTCTTCCGTTTGTCGGCAAGGGAGTTTTTCTTCTTGTTGCATTCGTGGTGTCGAAAGAACGCCAGAGCCTTGGCCGCAGGAAGGAAGGAACAGGTGTGGCTGCAGAAGATTTGACGTCCAAAATCTCGAAAATCCCCTCTCAGCGTTTTCCGAAAACGCTTGAATGTGTGACTGTAACACACACACACACACACACACACACACACACACACACACTTTAGTAAGAGAACATTCTCACAGTCCGAAAAAATAAACCCGATGTTGTTGTCCTGTTAGGCGCTCGTTGCTGAATGTGTGGTGTTTTTTGTGCACGTTTGACACCACCGGACGCTGCTTTGTTCTGGCTCTGTAAAACTGGCCGCTTTTGTGTGTGCATTTTGAGATGGTCTGACCTCCGGGTTACAACTACGAGGGGTCGAGCACAAAGCCCTTTTGCAGGCGGACCTCAAGCTTAAATCGCAGTGTTTGCCCAGCTGTAAGCCTGTTTGCCTCCAACATGGCACGTGTTAACCGCTAATGAATGGAGTAATTAGAGCATCGTAGTGAATTGGGCTTACGTGATGTCATCTGTGTGCAGTTGTCACTTGTTGTCCGCCTCCCGGCAGGTCTACGCTGCGTCATGCCAGGGAGGGTTGACTGGTGCTGCAGCTGATCAGTAATACCTTTTTAATAAGTGACGGTTTAATTTGTGCGTTTGAGACGGTTGTTAAGAGGTCCGCCACGTGTGGGAGGCATTGCGCCGCCAGGAGGCCGCTGTGGTGATTGGATGGCCGCGCTGGGTGATGAGTAAGCGTCCGTGGGTCCGCCCCCACATCCTCTTCACACATCCACGCACACGCACATGCCCGTTCACAGTCGCACACACAAATCCCGGCATTGCGCGAGCAGCCTTGCAACTCATGCACGAGCCTCCCGGGGGTTCTTAACACAAAAAAGTAACGAAAAAACCACAAGGCAGCGCACCGTCACCCATCTGAACCTTCCTCAGGCGGAAGGCTGTGTCCCCCCCCCCCCCCTCCCACCCACTCCTGCACTCTTCCGCAGACTGCCCGTCAGAGGATCTGTCCTCACTGAAGGACACGGTCACCGACTGGCTTCCATAGAGACGCCATAACGATGCGAGACCACCGCCTGTCGTGGTGCGATCAGTAGGAAGAGCCTCACAGAATCGGAGGGAGAGATGCCAGCGAGGTTATCTGACTGAGCCCGGTGCCGCCGCTCGCTTTCATTTCGCTTGTCCCCCCACCCCCCCGCCCTCCCCTCCAGTATCCCTCTTCATTGCGTTCCTCAGAGACCACAGCACCTCTCGGATGGTGGACTGGTCAGCTGAATGTCAGGTACAGTTGTGATACTTTTCTGTGTTGTGGTCGCTATCGTCGGTATATATCGATGTGTAAATATCCCCTCAGATGCCGGATGCATATTTCTGTATATTTTGTCCTCCTACCTGAAAACACTACATAGCCGTGTCAAACAAAAAACAACACAATTCACAATCTACCGTGGAATTTAAAAGCGTCCTTCCCTTTTGCAAAGAGCCGTCCTTCGGTTTGACTTGCCCTGCTCAGTCATGTTCGATGTCCACATTGTTACATGGACTGCAGTGCCTAGTCCCTCTTCCCTCAAGTGTTTATCACCTACTGTTCCGTTGCCAGAGGACCAGCGGCTGTTTGACAGGAATCCAGAGCGTAAACAAATGCAGCTGCTAAGTCACATCACCAAGTTCACCACTTCCCTGTGTGACACAGCGTAAATTCATGCAAAATTTGGCCGGCGAGCGGGTTCTCTGAAGCGTGCGACTGATAGAAAAGGCGGTCGGTTTGCCTGGTGGTGCTGACAGAATATTGTGGACAGACGCTGGGGTTACAGAAAAAGAAAACCCACAATACTGGCCACACATTACTGCAGCCTTAAAATCATAGGGGATAGAATTGCCATCTTGAAATGAAATAAATTACAGGCAGGGTTTTTTTTTCAAAATAGATTTGCTCACTCTTTTTTTTTGCAGCTCAGTATCCAGCTGGGATGGAAGCAAGGCTAAAGTTCACTTTTGTGATTTATGTCACATTTACTGCAGTAGCATAGTTTGTTTTTGTGTCATTTATGGAGTCCCAGTAGATTAGCTGCTTGTGGTGGAAGAAGAAGTC